GAGTCCAAAGGAGTTCGTTACAAACAAAAATACAAGCTAATAAAAGCGTGTTAAAAAAAACAAGAAAGAAATGTGTCCTTGTAAATGAAGGTTGAGCTGTGCTATTTTGAGTAGTACATGTTGGATGTATTTTTTCTAAATATTCTCAAATTATCAATTAAGCAGTTATACGATTAGCTCATTTTTGAGAAATACGCAGAAGTAGTAGAAAACCGTTGTATTCTGGTTGGTTTGAAATTCTGACGGAAAAATATTATAACGTCCGAAAGTTCAAAAATATTGATATTTAATATTATTTTTTGAAGTACTTTAACATGTTTTTTTTACATTTTTTAGGGAAAAACACAAGCACTGCAGGAAATTCTTTAAGGCGCTCACGATGGATTTGAATCGCTGGAGTTCAAATTCATTTGGACAAACGTTCTCACGAAGTTTATTCCACATAAACATAGTTCTCCAAATGAAAGAGTTCTTAACCATCGAGATTCGAGGTGTACTGAGGTGAACCTAAAAACGATGAGCAGTTTAATAGTAACTGAAACGCATTGATCACCTCATTACGAATATACATGTTGAATTGGAACTTTTGGAGCGAAATGAACCTTAGGAAAACAGTTAAACTGTTTCAGACATTCTTGATGATGCTAACTTGGTTAGAGAAACGCTTCCAACCGTCTTTTATCTCACATGCGACATTTTGAACCGTTAACATTGTGATCATCAATAGCATTTCTTGATGTTATGTTCTGGGTCTTCGAATTCTTTGAATTTATTGGTCAGTTTAAACAAAATTTTGAAGTTTTTTGCTAAAAATGTTGAAGCTTATTTCACATGATAAACTCGGCTGGAAGGAATAAAAATCTTAATAAACTTATAAAAATCAATGATACCTCAAATTCTGTAACAAACCGATATATGAGGTTGTGAATGGTATTTCATAATTATAATCGAAAAGTTGGTAATAAATGTCTGTTATGTTTTTCAAAATATTGAATAATTGAAAATATGTTGTATGGTATGATGAATATTACTGGAATTTTTCCTAACACCAACCGCTATTTTAACACCTCGACACGTGTTTCGATCACCAAGTGATCATCTTCATGAGGAAGATTAACCAGTTTAATATTCCTCTTGAAGAAGATCACTTGGTGATCAAAACACATGTCGAGGTATTAAAAATAACTTTTTGGTGTTGGGATAAAACTCTAGTTGAACCAACATGAATACTTGATCTAGAAGGCAAATAAACGATATTTAAAAATCATTTGAATTAATGAATTGATGGATGTAGCCGTTACTACGTGGTAGGATATCATCATGAAAAATGAGAAAAAAGAAACAGAGAAACAGAGGAAGATCAAACTGATCTTCCTCTTGAAGATAATTACTTGGTGATCGAAACACGTGTCGAGGTGTTAAAATAACGGTTTGGTGTTGGGAAAAAGCTCCAGTAATATTCATTACTACACCAAAGTTTCCAAACAGTGCATCACATGTATGGTATGATGATATAAAGACAAAGATTAGTTTTCTTTCAATTTGTGATGCACTGTATGGAACCTTTCGTGTATATAGTTAAAATAAATTAAAACAGTTTATTTTAATCTTCTTCTTGAAGATGATCACTTGGTGATCGAAACACGTATCGAGGTGTTAAAATAACGGTTTGGTGTTGGAATGAAACTCCAGTAATATTTTTTTCAATGCTGATTATTACATCGCCAGTCATAGAGAGCAGTTAATAATAACTTTTTGCAGAATTCTTAGTTAATCTCGAAATAATTTATTTAGCGTCATGGAAGTAGGTACTTGACAGAGTAATTTTATATTGTTCCATTTACAGTATAAGGAGTTGAACTCTCTTGGAGGTTGCCGTTGACAAATTATACTTCAAACGAATCTGACATTTAACAGTTATTACTTTCAGAGATGTGATTCAGTGATTAAATTTCTTGTTCAAAATAGGTAGCTATGACCCAGGTTTCAAACATTACTACCACATGTCATTCTTGTAAATAATACAAACTCGACCCAACATGATTTATACGAAAACGTTTGTATCATGATATTAATTATTTAGAATATCATCTGCATAAAAATTGATGATGAAAATAGTCACAATGTATGTCAGTGACATTTCATTAATCATCCACTTTTTACATTTGAATAAAATAAGGGATACAATGGTGTTTCCCCTCGCAGTTACATATCATTTATCTGAATTTCACATACCCAATTAATTTTTGTTGATTATTACATTTTTGTATAAATGAATAACTTAATCGGACGGTATCCAATTTCATTGAGTAATTATCGGAAAACGTTAGGAGTCAGAATAACTGGAATGTTGTTGGAAGTTGGATGTTACAAAATTAATTTTTTCTGAACCAGTTTTTTGCTAAAAAAGAATTTGAGAATTGTGGTAAGTTTATGAAAATTGATGAGTGATGATGATTATAAATATATCAGAATTAATTAAGAAAAGGGTCGTCTCATGCCAAAAATCAAGAAAATTATATAATTCAACAACTGTAACGTACTTCTCACATTTTATTTCAACTTCACATGAAATGAATATTTCAATAAAAAAAAAACGCTTCTAAGTTTTTTTTTCTGAAATTTAAATGCGATCGAAGGTATTGATGATCACGGGATCAAAATGAGTCAATAAAACTTACGTAAGAGTTTTTGAGTAACATATCGATTTCATAAACAACTTTTTTTCTTTGCTGAAAATTGCTTGGAAAAATATGAGTCTTGTCATTATTACATATTCCTGAATGTTCTTCTATAACTTGAATATCGAGGTGAATAATAAAACAGTTTCTGTCCTGATAACCCGCGTTCACGGATAAATACTTTCCCTTCAGTTCATTACTATTTTCTCAAACATGTTGCTTGACTCAAACAGAAGCAATTTGCAGTGATTTTAATTGTAATATAATGTACTTGATTAGTATCAGCTATTTGTTATAATTCTACAGTATCGACTAAAAATAAACAGATGGACCGAGTCTGCGGAAATATAATTTGCGAGTGGTAGTGTCAGAATAGGAACAGCCTGAAGGAATTTATTTTGAGTTGAAGACATTAAAGAGACCAACAAGGAAGAAAGCGAATAGATATTATAAATGTATATGTAGTCTATTAGTTGACAGAGGTGAGATAAACTGGTAGCTCAATTATTGTAAAATAGAAAACACATTTTCACGAGTTACACTCGATTAATAATAGTTTTTTCATGAATTTTTGCGAAGAAACTTCATAATTGGTATACAAACATAACACATGATGATTTTTATATGCATACACATAAGAAACAATTACTTATATGAACATTGACTGATAATGGAAACATTTTTGTTAAACTTTTTCATTCACGGAGATGAGATAATTCATTAAAGTTGGGGATCTTGTTTGATTATCTCAGCGCAGCATGTAGGTATTCAATTTCGAACACGATGTCTCGTATTAACTTCGTTAAAGAGTAACTATAGTTTGAACGGGTATAAATAAATGTCAAATGGGTTCAGATCGGGTGAACGAGGGTGTTTTTCATAAGTTTCTGCAAGATATCATTATCTGTGAATAGAGAGCAATAGAAAAAAAAGGCAAATTTTGAAAAAGAAATAAAATATGTGATGAAGTTATTTTATACAGTGGTCGAGTCAATGTGCATTTACAATTCCGGTATTCACATTTCTAATTATATATTTATTTACTGTTATGTTGGTAACTCGGTCTGTAGCTAACCATAACATTTGAAAAAACTATCACAAATCTCGTCATTTGATGAGTATATATTAGAAGCAGTCCATTTTAATGATAACAACTATTTGTATGGCTTTTTATGAAGTCAAATAATATCTTCATTAAAACACGTAGCACCCGCGCATTCACCATTTGGTATTTTTTTCTGCTCCAGATATGTTGTTTCTTAAACTTTTCAACATTTTAGATAAAACAGATATTTCTTTGATGATAATATGTATCGTGAAATATACCAAAATGCAATATTTTTCATTCTGAGGGTTGTAACTTGAAGATTTATGTTTGTTTGGGATGGATGATTTTTTGATAATCCACATTTTTGTGTTGAAATTGTACTGACACTTAATCAATTGTTGTGATAGCTATTAAGTAATGATTGATTATTCAAGTGGACATTCGAAAATGATGATTTCCACTCACATTCGACTATTTCCAGGAGATTTATTTAATTTTCAAAATGGAGGAATTTTTTCTTCGGGTGGATTTGACGCTGGACAATTTTTTTTCGATGCATTCAATAATGTTAAAAGCCTTATCTTATTGAAAAATATACAATCATGAGCCATCAGTAACAAATAAATAGGTTGAATGGAATAAATGTTTTGACTTTGAGTCAACAATTTTCGATTTGTGGGAACAAATTATTGAGTACCTAGTAAGGAAGTAAATGTTGAATACGAATCAAACAGACTCTCATCATTTCGCAAACAATGAATGAAAATAAAAGTTTTCTTGCTTTTGAAAACTTGGGAAAACCCGGTAGATGTTCTCGTGAAATATATGGGTGTCCAAATGCAAAATAATGACTAGAGTAGTGATTCTCAGAATGCACATGTTTCTTGCTCTGTATGTTATTCAAGTCTGCAATTTTATTGAAGATGATTGGAGAACAATATTTCCATTATTTCTTATTCAACTGTTAGGTAAAGTTTGATTTGCTACAATTGACAAATGACATTCAAGAAAAGAATACGGTTATGAATATACAATAGGTTATGATTTTAACGTTAGAATGAACTAGATAAATGAATTAAGGTATACTTTAGTGGTTGAATTAGTATTTTTGAAGATATATTACAACGCAATCATCGATTACGAAAAGTCTAAATGTGATCCATCGAACCATTAATATAATTTCAAGTTTGACAAACTTTTATCATGATTGGGAACAATTGCTGAAATATATAATGTTTGAATGAGGAATTCAGATTAGGAGTGACCTTTACCTTAACAAGTGTCCAACGAAAATGTCAGGTCATGCCCGCGCGGCTTTCAAATATGATCGCACTTTGACGTAAATCCCAAAATGTAAATGGAAAAAAATCCGGTGTCAACTGCTAACGTCCACATTCACAAAACTGTCAAAGTAGCAGGAACAAAACGTCACAACAACAAAAGTTCACCGATAACAGTTCGGTAGTTCAAAAAACTGAAATTCGCGCACTTTTCTAGCGTCTACAAACAACTGAAAATCTGTAAACAAACCAAACAGGGGGATGTAAATTATAGGGTTGGCAACGCTCAGTGACGAGCGCTAGCGTAAGTCGTGCGTTCGACTGAACGCCAATTTCATAAAGTGACTCCCTCTCGCATCGAGGCTTTCCCCCACCACGCTGTTAAAAAATTTCAGTAAATTGGAGAATTTAGATTGGTCGATTTGGTGAATAGGGTACAATCTCGTACAAAGCGCGTACGGTCTCGTAAAAAATTGTTGCGAATTCTTTTGATTTCTTTGTGACTTCGCATTGACTTTACTGTCTGTTGAATGGTAATTGAATATATTCGTGTCGACTCGGAGGTTGTTGTGTGAATTGAAACAACTTGAATATTTTGATTTAGTAGTTGCTAGGAACGACTTTTCAAACCAAGAAATGGGACAATTGCTATTTAAGAGTGAAGGTTGGCGACATTTGCGATTGAAGCAAATATTTTGCTTTTAATTCAATGCATATTGATGAGTTGTGTTCCACTTGACGAAATTTTCATACAACTTGAACTTGCAAGAGAAATACAATTCTAAAACAGTTCATATTCCAATAATAAACTTCATGGAAGCTCGGTCTACCGGTAATTAACTGAAATCCTCCTTTAAAAATTTGGTTTTTTCTGCTGAGTTCGGAAGAAACACATTGAAAAGAGACAACTACAAATATAACTTCATTTCCCAGTCAGCTATTTGAGAGTAAAAAAACTACAGATATTTGACTCTAATTTTGTGTCTGGGATGTACCAGACATTAATAATAATCTCAAGCTTTTTCACAAGAGTTTGAAAATTTGTTGATATCTATCAAAAAAGGAAGTCTATCTAACTCATTTCAATATTCTTAATTTTATACGCTAATTACTATTTTAGTTTTCAGTTTGTTTTCAGCTATAACTCATATTTATTGTATTGTTATGTTTTTAGACAATTTCATTACATATCATATCAAAACGTGAACAAGAATAATTTCCTCAATAACTTTATATAAAATTGGGATACTCATTTAGAAGATGGGCCAAAATTCCTTCAAATTTATGTTGAATACAGTTCAAATTCATACAAAGGAAGACTGAGGTACCTAGTCAAAAAAATTGAAGAAAGATGTACTTTTTTTGTTGTTTTTAGTTTTGACTTCAGATGCCATACATATTACACTACAAATTTGAGAGAAACTCTGAGTACCTATAGTGAACATTTTGGAAAAACTCACTTTATTTTGTTTTTTTTGAAATATACACAAATGAATGTGAAATAGAAATCGATAAAGTGTCCATACCTAAGTCGATAATGCGTAAAATAAAGTATCATTATTGCACCCCTCACGGTCCTACAAAAAATATTAATTATAAAACTAGACAATTAAATTTCATTTATGTGATAGGTATGTTCCGTTTCTGGACATTTGAAAACTGAAAAAAAATTGCATATTTCAGCAGAACTTTACCGGATTATTTTAAATTTTTTTGATGATCTCAGTGCAGGAAAAGTCGCACCTTTTTTTATTTTGCATTTCCCGCATATTTTGTACCTAAAATAATTTAGTTTCGGAATTGAGCTGGTTGAAATAAAAATGCAAAACAATTATAATGGAATTATTTTTTGAAAACATCAAAAACGAAACATATTACAATTATTTCAGTTACTTCAAAAATAAACTTATTTGTACACTATTAATAGGTATACTGTACTTCGCGGTCTGTCTACATATTATGGTTAATAACAATAAAAAAATTCAAAGTGGAAAGTTTTTACTGAATACATTAGGTACAAGAAGGAAGTTGAAATGAGGTATTTCCATAATTTATATTTCAATTTTGTAATATCATCAAATTCGTCGGCATGTTAATATCGATAACAAAACATCTTTCGATCAATAATTGGAAAATTGTCAATCAAAAGTATAAATCAACTTATTTCGTGAAGTTCATTATTCCATAATTCGATCCACTGAGGACCACATTATCCAAAATTGAACAAACCATCATCTAGCTTCATGTCATGTTATTTACAAATAATAATTAATTAATATGTAATCTATTTTTCTTAATTCAGTCATATATGTAAATTTATTTCTTAATTTGTCAAATCCTTATTATGTCAATATTTTGTTATATATTTAGTTTCAGTAGCCTTTATTTATACTGCATTATTATATTATATATTGTTCTGTAAATGGATTCATCTGTTGGGCAATAAATTTTGCTTTTCTTCTTCTCCTCATAACTCAGGCCATTCACAAGTATATTGAGTGATACTAAATTTTTATTCAGGTGAATATTTGGTAATGAGTAGTGAAGTAACATTTTGTGAGATTTTTACTGAAGTTTCAAAACGTCAACACGTATTTCGCTATTCAAAAGCTTCCTCAGGCATGTTCATACTGTACACTCATACTGAATGGACACGCCTGAGGAAGCTATTGTATAACGAAACTAGTGTGTTTCGCTACACAAAAGCATCCTCATCAGGTGCGACTGTTTCGAACCTAATGTTGACGTGATATGTGGCAGGCAAGACCTTTTTATGTATAACCACTCAACGGAATCGCACGTTGAAAGGTAAGTCCTTGCTAATTGAAACAAGTGTGTTTCGCTACACAAAAGCATCCTCATCAGGTGCGATTGTGTCGAACCTAATGTTGACGTGATATGTGGCAGGCAAGACCTTTTTTATGTATAACCACTCAACGGAATCGCACGTTGAAAGGTAAGTCCTTGCTAATACTCATCTCCCACAAGTCTTTAATTTTAAATCAATCTTTCATGTAAATACTGTGATTACCCATCAAGTATTACTGTACTAATAAGGTTAATTCAGCAAATCTGAGGACTACTTTATGTTGTAGGTACTTAACGAGAATCTGATGAAGCCAACTGGCAAAGTTCTTGTGTGTCGGAAAAGTGATTTCATCAGGTGTGAGTTTCTGTGCTACATTCAACAGAAAGATGTTATGTAATTTCGGCTGAGTGGTAGAATAGCGTACCTATGCTAAACTCCGCCAAACCTACATTACTGCTTACCAGTCCTTGTTGTCAAATTCATCCTTTGATATAATATTGTGCAGTAAGGTACCTAGTCTAAAAAATTTCAGTATCCAGTTTTCAACTACCTGGAGGTAGGATAATCTCATAATCTCATATTCTAATCGGAAATGACATGCTTCTTAATATTCTTCTTCTAGCTATGTTCATGACAAATTATAGTAACTTCACACATAATTTATAAGTCGAAAATGAAATGCCACATTTCTATGTTACAAGGTTATGTATTAGGAGGAGGGAAGGCATAATATTTCTTCCCGGAGAGTATTATCGATTGAGATATAATAATCGATACAGTTACTTTCTATTCATGCCGTCAGTACTGATAAAAAGGAATGTGGTATAGACGGATGTCGTTTTTCATTTGTCTACACGTAGGATTCATGTGGAATAAGAAACTTTTCCATTGAAACTCACGAGGACATTTGAAAAATTCAGGTTACGGACTTCTCAGATAGGAATTTTAGGATTTACTATCATAATCTCAAGAACACAAATTCAAATATTTTTGACATTTGTTTTTGATCAGCATTGAAAAATGGTTAGAGAAAAACTGACTTTCAAGTTCACTTTTCTCTCGATTGGACATCAGATCAAAAGTATAAGAATTTATAATTTTTTGACTTTCATTTTCCTACATTTAGATATAATTGATTCAGGAGAACATATTAGTGGCAATGAAAATTCTTCTAAAAATATTGTCATAAACATTTTAGAATATACAATTCTGATTTATAGAGCAAACAGATAAAATGGTTAAAAATCTTCAAATGAAAGAGGTGAGCGATAAACCTGATTGCTTTTCCATTCCAGATTGGTGAATATTGTATAAATGTTCACAAATTTATTTGTAATGAGTAAAAAAAAAATGTGTTGCGTCAAATTGCATTGAAAGTCATGTCCAAGTTGCATTCCATATAGCACTACTGCTTTTCTATCTCATAATATTGCTTCTCTACCTCATAGTACTCATCCAATCTTATCTACAATCAACGAGAGTAAAACATAAAACAATAAAAATGTCTAGCAATTGGGTAGTTAATGATAACATCGGTTTATCTGCTTCTCTACCTAACAGTACTGCTTATCTACGCCATAGTACTACTTCTCTACCTCATAGAACGGATGCTTCTCTATCTCCTTGTACTGCTTCTCTATGTCATAGTACTAATTTTCTAGCTCATAGAAAAGCATCTCGACCTCACAGTACTCATTCAATCTAATCTGCAATCAACGTATGTGAAACCTTAAAATATATAACCATAAATTATTAGGCAAGTAGTTGGTCTCTAGAATCAGAAGTTTTCGATGAAATCGGATTACCGGCTCTTGTTTATCCTCTTCAGTCAACAGTGATAAGTCTTCCATCAGACCAGATGGACCATTCTAATGCATGGTTAGCTATTACCTGGATAGTTCTTGTGTGGAGGAAGTGTTTTTATTAACAATTCTATATACATTAAAATGGTTTTCTTCCTTATATTTTCAATGAGGTTGTGTTTGGATGAGAACCATGGTTCTAGATTTGATATCATGTAACTCAAATACGTGTATGTCGATTTTCGATCATTCAATTTGCTTTCGCTACCTGGTCATATATTCCACTTGCAGTTTTGTTGTTATTCAATAGTTACATTCTTATAGTACAATTTTCTCATCTGAGTGTGTTGTTCGGCCTGTCTTATTCGTTTACTGGTTCGACAGTCTTTGTTGTAGATCTAAATGTAACCTTCTAGTATCTCAGAAACTTCAGTTTTTAGAAAACAGTATTAGGTACAATCAGTTATTTCTTAGAGACGTTCTGGTTATTCAGACGTCTTCAAAAAGTATTGTGTGGAAGCTGGATTTACCAATGCGTTATTCAACTGGAATAAGCCTTCTATTTTTCTCTCTAGCTTTCATTGCAAAGCAGTTAGTTGAAACCAAAGCTAAAAAAACAGAGCATGTATGATTATCTTCGTGGGGGCATATGTTTATGTTTACTAATACTTAGGTTGATCCTTCAAGGATACTTGCGT